GGGAAAGTTATAAGAGTAAGGAATAAATGCTTTAAAAAATTTTTCTTTTCTATAAAATGTTTCCACAAAGTCACAAAGTAATATTAACAGAAGTTTCAAAAGTTGATTAAATAAACTAGAAAAAAGGACTTTCCACACCCCCAATATGAAACCAAATGTGATGTTTAAAAGTTAGGAAATATAAAGCAGTACAGGAGGAAGTATCATGGAGTCCATCTACAATATCTATGTGACCAAATCTACAAAGCAGGAGAAATCTTCTAAATATAAAACTACATTTAGTTCATTAATTTAAAGGTAGAAGAAAGTTAAGGATAAATAGGGAGGTTACTAGGAGATATATCCCTCCTTACAGGTGAATTTTAGTTTGCACATAAAAAGGGCGGTAACCAGAGACCCTGATCCAAGCAATTCTTAATATCTCCTTGCTCCAGAATATCATTCCATAAGATTTCCTTTTTTGAGAGGGAGAACAAATTTTTCCTCTGGAAATAGCCAAATATGTCTTTTTTATGGAATGCCTGAATTACACAGAAAATTATTAGATTCTCTAAGTAGTTATTAAAGCCTCCATATAGTGAGAGATTTACCAGCAAGTGCTCTCCCAAGGACAGCATAAAACTCATAGGGCTGCACTTGGAGGTAGAGGATGACAGAAAAACTGGACAACAGCACACTGAGCAGGAAAACAAAACAAGGTGACATATTGTTGTACTTAGGTACTTTTAAAAGTTCCACACATATTTCCTTGATTTCAGTTGGCATGAATAGGTTTGTCTTTCAGATACTACAAGAAAAGGCAGGCTTTTACAAAATATTTGTTCAATAGAAGGTATAATCTTGACTTTTCTTCTGACCATGGCTTAGGTTATAGATTTGGCACTTTTTACTTGACCTGAAACAGATTTTAAAATTACATTTAATTAGCTTGCAATGAGAAACAAAATGAAACTAGTTTTTAAAACAATGGACATGGAATAAGTCAGAATGTTCCAGCCTACACCAGCCATTAATTAAACACTGATGTTGCTGACATGTCAATTCAAATATTCTCTCCTTTTTTTTTTTTCATATTTAAAGCTGTAAGGTCACATTTTCCATATAATCAGTACTAATGTTTCTAGTTTTGCCATCAACTAGAGTATCTTTGAATAAACTGTGAAACTCTCTTATCTTCACATTTATCATTGTACAATGAGGCATCATTTCAGAGGCTCCATCCAGACCCAACGTTGTGTGTGATGAAGACGCTTAGAGGGAATGTGATAGAGGGGATGCAGGGAGAGAGAAGGAGGGACAGACGGAGCACTGTTAGCCCAAGAAAACGGTAGGAGTGCAGCAGATGGAAATGATGGTATAATCCAAAATTCAAGTCTTAGGCTGGGTTCAGTGGTACTGGTAGTCCAGCTACTTTGTAGGCTAAGGCAGGGGGATTGTTTGAGCCCAGGAGTTCAAGTTCAGTCTGAGCAATATAGCGATAACCCATCTTTTAGAAAAATATTTTAAAAATAAAGCAAAACACATAATCTTAAAAAACAAAAAATAATTCAGGTCTCAATCACCTTACCCCTAGATTATACTGTTCTCATTTTCTCTAGTTTCCTCTCCCTCCAACCCATTTTACAAAAAAAGCCAAATTATTCTCTCCTACCCTAAAGTCTTTTAATGGCCTCCCACTGCCCAGAAGATAAAGCCCAAATGTCTAAGCTTACAATTCAGTAGTTTTCATGAAATGATAACACATTAAATTTGCAATTGTGTTTTCTACTGTACCTTACACAGACTCAACTACAGTCAGCTAGATGAGTACTGGCTACTTCCTGATTCCCACATTTGGACCTTTCATCATCATATTGTGCTTTCCTAAGAATTTCCTTTTACTCTGGCTACCAGGCAATTCCTCTGTCTTCGTGATGATTTCTCTTTATATTTAGTCTTCTCTGCGCCTATACGGCAATCAGTTCATCTTTTGAGGCATATATGCTTTATTCACACACTAGGTGGTGGGCCCCTTAAAGACTGGTCCAGTCTAAAGCCTCTGTACCTAGGAGAATGCTATGTGTATGCACCATAGATATCAGTCATAAATGGCAAGGGATATTCTGTCACACTACCTAACTAGGTTAAGTATCTTAAGCTTTTAAAACCCACAACCTCTTTTGATAAACACTAGATAGCCACAAGATAGCCACAAGCAATAGAATACAACTGGACCTCTGTCTAATACCATATATAAAAAATAACTCAAAATGGATCACAGAACTAAATGTTAGGGCTAAATCTACAAAACTCTTAGAAGAAAACATACGATTAAATCTTGGTGACCTTGGATTAGGCAATGAGTTCTTAGATATGGCATGGAAATCACAAGCAACAAAGGAAAAATAGACAAATTGGATTCAATCAAGATAAATTCTTTTGTGTTTCAAAAGATGTAATTAAGAAAATGTAAAGACAATCTACAGAATGGGAGGAAATATCAGATGCATATTTCTGATAAGGGACTAGGATCCAGAACACATAAAGAAGTCATACAACTAAACAATAAAAGATAACTTAACTTAAAAATGGACAAATAGATATTTCTCCAAAAAAACACACAAATGGACAGTAAACACACAAAAAGATGCTTAACATTATTAGTAATTAGAGAAATGCAAATCAGAATACATTAAGATACCACATCACACCTATTCGGATGGCTAAAGTTTTTTTTACAAGACAGGGACAAACATTAACAAGAATATGGAGAAATTGGAATTCTTGTATACTGCTGGTGGCAATATAAAATGGAAAACAGTTTGGCAGTTCTTCAAAGGTTAGACATCCAGTTACCATATAACCTAGCAATATACCAAATAAAAATGAAAACATGTGGCCACACAAAAAATTTGTACACAACAGTTCATTGCAGCCTTATTTATAATAGCCAAAAAGAGTAGAAATCCAAATGCCCATCGACTGATGAATAGATTAAATTTGTATCCATACAATGGAATATTATTCCACCATAAAATGAAATGAAATGCTGGTACATGTTACAACATGGATGAACACTGAAAAGTGAACCTTGCTATGTGACAGAAGTCAGACACAAAAGGCAACACATATTGTATGATTTTATTTATGAAATGTTCAGAGCAGGCAAACCCACAGAGAAAGAAAGTAGATTCATGGTTGCCAGGATTCAGGAGAGTGAGGAATGGGAAGTGACTGCTAACAGGTACAATGTTTCTTTTGGGGGTGGCAAAATGTTCTAAAATTAGTTAATGGGGATGATAACACAACTTTGTGAATATGAGAGGGGAATCGAAAAAGCCCAGGATTTATTTATTACAAAGTTTGTATTTATTCTTACATGTTTAAACTTCAGTCACTCTCAGTACTGTCTGATGCAATATGCCTACCAAGACACTTTTTTCACTGCTCCAGTTTTTGAACTCATCAATTTTGATGCCTTTCAGAATTTATGCCGTTTTTGTTTCACCTCTTCCACATCAGCAAAATGTTTCCCACTGAGGACTTTTTTCACCCGGGGAAACAAAAAGTTGCTTGGGGCTGAAGTTCGGGTGAATAGGGAGGGTGGGGCACTGGGGTCATGCCACTTTGACTGGGGTCAAACACGAGAGTTTGAGACCAGCCTGGGCAACATGGCAAGACCCGTCTCTACACACACACACAAAAAGACAAAAAAGTATAATACAAAGAACTCAAAATATCCAAATAAAAAGTATAAAATTGGTCAAAAATTGCTGAACACGCAGCACCATGTGGGCATGTATGCCCTTAAATCACCCATCATGAAATGGACCAATGCATTGAAACAACCTCCAGAAAAAAATTTGCTGAAGCCGAAGAACACAGCCTCTCACAACACTAGCTGGTGCACTGATGCCAGTGAGTTCCTAGAACACTTACCTAGTGGGGGAAGCCTGCCCTACAAGAAGCCCACCCTCCAAAAAATAATTCCTGTTTTTTTGGGGTCCCTCTAATATACTGCAAACCACTGAATTGTACCTTTTAAAATGGTGAATTTTACAGTTAATGATCGTAAAAGTCAGCCAGCTCTCATGAGCTACTTTTGTGCAACTGCCCATAATCCATCCCTGTAATACACTTTTCATATGTCAAATTTCCACTTTTCTTCTTCTTTTTAAAAATTTATTTTATTTTAAAAATTTGGAGTACAAGTCAGCATTAGGTATACAGGTGATCATCACACAGGTAGGGTTTGGGCCTCCCTTTTGTCCCCACTTTGCCTGTTTTGAAGTCAGGTACCCTTATTAATGTGAAAGACTATTTTTACAATACAAGCATACCTTTGAGATATTGTAAGCTCAGTTCCAGACTACCACAATAAAGCCAATATCACAATAATAAAATAAATAAGATAAAATAAAATAGTGAATTTTATGGCATGAAAATTGTATCTCAATAAAGCTATTATTTAAAAAAATTCTTACATATGCCCGCTACCAGAATTCTGGTATATGTACTTTCCTTGCTCTCAGGATGGTATTCCCACAGGAGATTTTTCTTCAAATATAAAATTATAATATTGAAAATGCTTTTAAAATATCCACCACTTTATCTCCCAGGACATGCCTTTCTAGATAAGAATCCTTGGTCAAAATCAAAGCCAAAGGCACAGAATTACATAAAATGTAATGACTGATGATGTGATATTAAGATTAGTATTAGACATTCCCTAGAGAAACAATTCAGTTATTATAAGTTATTACTAATATTGAAACTAATAATTAACTTATTGTAGGGACGAGGGCTCACCAAGTTGTCCAGGCTGGTCTCAAATCCCTGGTCTCAGGCAACCTTCTCGCCTCAGCCTCTCAAAGTGCTGAGATTACATGCTTGAGCCACCTTGCCTGGCTGAAACTAAAAATTAAACTAGGGAGCTATATTATGAATTAGTGCTTGTAACAAGGTTAATGACTAACAAAGATTGTTAAAATCAGAATATCTCAGAAATAACAACATTGAACTTAATTTTCAACTTTTCTAACATTCAAATCATTTTGTCCAAAACTTACATAGTGTAGCCATTTTGTAAGGATAGGAGTCACAATATCTTCTAATTGTTGTCTCTGTTCAAAAAAGTTCATTAATGGAAGCTTCTGAATGGATTTCCACCCACTCATTTTTTGCACGGCACACATTGAGGATGGTATTCTAGGGACAGAAGTAGAGAATACTTTCTATGTATTTACTAAAAAATAAAACTCTACAGTATCTCTAAATTGGCACTAACAATAGAACTTTCTATGATAACAGAAAAATTCTATACCTGCATTGCCTAATAAAGTAGCCATTAGAAATATATGGCCATTGACTATAAGAAATATGGCTGCTAGGGTTACTGAGAAACTGAGTTTTAAATTTTATTTATTTGAGTTGGAGTCTCACTTTATCGCCCAGACTGCAATGCAGTGGCATGCTCACGGCCACCCCAGTGTCAACCTGCTGGGCTCAAATAATTCTTCCGCCTCAGCCTTTCAAGTAGCCGAAACTACAGGTGCACACTACCATGCCTGGCTAACTTTTTTTTTTTTTAATTGTAGTGATGAGGTGTCGCCAAGTTGCCCAGGCTGTTCTTGAACCATTGGACTCAGGCAATCCGCACACCTCAGCCTCCCAAAGTGGTTACAGGCTTGAGTCACCGCTCCTGGCCCTAATTTTACTCAAATTTGAATAGCCACATGTAGCTGGTGGTTACTATATTGGACAGTGCAGCTCTATCATAAATGGAATGTGAATATAACAAAACTCACCATCAAGAATCATGAAGGGTAACTGCCAGGGGAGGGTCAGGGTAGGACTGGCAGTAGTGGGAAACTGCCTGGGGTAGGGGCACACCTCATCAACAAGGGTACCTGCGTAACGAACATTTGTATACCTAACCCTGAATTGTACCCCACATATTTAAAATAAAATAGTTTTAAAAATAAAATAAAAAGAGCCATGAAGCCTTGCACCTGTCTATACTTTCTCCCCAATTCTTTATTTTCATCAAGCCCTGTGACAAAAAGAAGTGTTTGCAAAGGTTGAAACAGAATAGCTTATTGGTACAAGCTGCACACAATTCAAAAGACAATGCTGACAATTTATTCCCTCTAAATGGTTCATAGGAAGAGGAAGAAAAGTCCACCTGACCGAAAACCTCTCAGTTTGCATCGTAAAACCATCTCATTGCACGCATGCAACAAACTTCTGATGTCTAATTTAAGATGTTTGTTGTACTGTAGTTGATTACAATAAAGAGAAATAAATAAATGTATGGTGTGTCTTGTCCTTACTATGAAATAATAAGCAGTAGTCTATGCAGAAGTATGCAGAAGGAAGTGGACTTGGAAAGGTGTTTATAATATATTATTAAGAGGGGAAGAGGGAGAAAAAGTAAACTAAAAAATAATACATAGTATAATCCCATTTTTATAAAAACAAAATCATAAAATTTCTATTGTATGTGTGCATACATATGTTTACATAAGTGAAGGAAAAAATGGTACAATTAACTAAAAATTGTTATCAGAACCACAGGGTAATAAGACTGCAGACAGAGAAGGGAAAACCATTAAGTTTGCATAGGACATTTTCATTTTTTCTAATTACAACTATGTGTACATAATATTTTCTAGTTCAAATAACCAAATTTTTAAAAATTGAAACTGAAAACTTTTCTAGTAACTAGTTTGACAAAGTGCTGTTTCTTTGCACCACGAAAATTTTGTTTTGCAGATCTAATAGCTCTGATAGTTATTCTAATAAAATTTTGCCTGTAATTTTTTTCACAAGATATGGAGTGTTTTACAAGACACATGTGTAATGTGTCGCTTATCAAGTTCATGGACTTGGTGATGTTTTAATCTTTCAGTAATACCTAATTCTTCTTCATCTGAATTATAAGTCACAGAAAATGTACAGAGTATCCTGCACACAAAAAAATGCACGAAACAATTTAAAACCAAACCACATTTCTGATTCCTTGAGCATTTGAAAAAAAATTTTTTTGTAGATATGAGATCTCACTGTGCTGCCCAGGCTTATCTTGAAATCGTGAGCATTTTTTTTTTTTTTTTGAGTCAGAGTCTCACTCTGTTGCCCAGCCTGGAGTGCAGTGGCACATTCATGGCCACCACAGCCTGGACCTACTGGGCTCAGGCAATTCTTCCACCTCAGCCTTCCAAGTAGTTGGGATCACAGGCATGCGCCATCCCACCTGGCTAATTTTTTGATTTATTGTAGAGATGAGGTCTTGCTAAGTTGTCCAGGCTGGTCTCGAACCCATGGGCTCAGGCAATCCTCTCATCTTGGCCTCCCAAAGTACTGGGATTATAGGTGTGAGCCACTGCACTGGCCTTAAGCATATTTTTAAATGTCCATCCAAAGCAATACTACCAGTCTACAGGCAGTACTTAGATATAGGACTCAGATATATGGCAACCTGGTTTTATAACCAGCTATCTTAATATCTGTGTATCTTTTTTCCTATTCTGGAAAATTCGATACAATAAAAAATATGTAATGTATTTGTACATATACGGGGAGGGAGATCTTCAAAAAACAGAATTGGTTTTTGGAGGGCGGGCCCCTGTAGTACAGGCTTCCCCACTAGATAAGTGTCCTAGGAATTCATCAGTATCAGCGTACCAGCTACCACTGTTTTAAGAGGCTGTGTTTGACTTCAGTGATTTTTGTTGTTTTTGGAGTTTCTTGCAATGCATTTGCCCATTTTATGATGGGTGATTTATGAGCATACCTGCCCACACCGTGCTGAGTGTTCAGCAATTTTTGACCAAAAATGGCATGATTCCCATTCCCCACTCTTTCTATTCACCTGATCTTGCCCTGAGCAACTTTTTCTGCTTCTCTGGATGAAAAAAGTCCTCAAAGGGAAATATTTTGCTGATGTGGAAGAGGTGAAACAAAAAATGGCAGAAGCACTAAAAGGCATCAAAATTGATGAGGGGGAAAAATCATCTCAATTAGGTGTATTGCATCAAATGGGAGAGTATTTCGAAGGTGACTGAAGTTTAAACATGTAAGAATAAATATACAATTTTTAAATAAATAAATTCTGGGTTTTTGAGTCCCCTCCATACATATTAATAAAATACATAAAATAAAAATATATGTCTAAACTTTGAAGGAAAGTAATGAAGTGGATACAGCAGACCCCACTACTCAACAGAACCAGAACACAACCAATACTATTAATGTAACTTCTCTGTCCCTCTTCATCCCATCTTCTGCCTGTCTTAAGAGAAAATTACAATCTGTACTTATCCCTCTGCTTTGCTTTTTAAATATTTTTACCCAGATATGTAGGCATCCCCTCCCAAAAACAGTTTGGTTTTGCTTGCTTTTGAGCTTTATAAAAATCGGTGCAGTCTTTGGTGTTTGTTTTTCACCGAGTACTACATTTCTAAGATTCATCCATGTTGCTGGATATGATACTTAGTACATTTCTATGTCACTTTTAAAAACTATTTAACTTTTTGATCAGTCTATCTTCTATCAGTAGTTTATGAAGAAAGGAAGGAAGCGGGGAGAAAGAAAAGGAAGGAGGGAGGAAGGAAAGAAAGGAGGGACGAAAGAACAGTAAGGATTACCATCTACTTCTAGAACAACAGTATAGAAATTAAAATGTAAGACAAAATTCTCAAAAGACTTCAGAACAAGCAATAATCACAATACAGTACCTTGTCTTCCTTAAGAAGCTTCCCTGATCCCTTTTCTATATCAGTAATGGCTAAAGAAACCTTGGCAATATATTTTTTCAGAGTCAACCTTACATCTGAAAGAATGGACAGTAAAACAAAATATGATAAGACAAAGACCCCAAAAATATACTCACCTATTTATAATGCAGCATATCATATTCGGAGCTTTATCAAGATGGTGTGTGGGGGATTTATTATGGTTGTTTTCATTGAATTTCAGAAAGATAACACTCAACCAGCACAGCACTTGGGGTACTCAATATGTTTCTAGAAATGTTCTAGAAACTAAAGTTTTTGAAGAACAAATGAAATATAAAACATGACCCCTGATTCCAAAGAGGCCATATTCTATTAAAAGAAAGTAACAACAAAAAGCATTTATTTTTGGGTCTTCCAAATAAATTTCAAAAACAGATGTCCTAATTAAAAAACAACAACAACGTTGTTTAAAATAATCCCATTCACTATAGGACCCACAGTAATGTTATCATAAAAATTTGAAAATCTATTTAAATAAAATTATAACAGCTTGCTGTGAGAAATGAAATACTCAAATAAATGGAAGGGCTTACCATATTTCCAGATGGGACAACTAAACATTGTAAACTGTAAATTAGTCCCAAATGAAGTTAAAGGTTGATGTATTGGTTTCCTTTAGCTGCTATATCACACTGCCACAAATGTTCTGGCTTAAAACAATACATATGTATCCTCTTACATATGTATCCAAGAGGTCAGAAGTCTGAAACTGGTTTCACTGAACTAAAGTTGAGGTACTGGCAGTTTGATTCCTTCTGGAGGATTTTAGGGGAGAATCTGTTCCTTATCTTTTTTCAATTTTTAGTGGCTTCAGTTTCTAGTATTACTTGGTTTGTGGCCCCCTTCCTCCATTTTCAAATACATTACTCCAGTCTCTGTGTTCATCATCAAATCACCTTCTCCTCTTCTGTGTCAAATATACCTCTGCCTTCTACCTACAAGGACACTGTGATTATGTTTAGATCCCACCAGGATAATCTCCCAACTCATGTAAGGATCTGCAAAGTCCCTTCTGTCATGAAGTAACATTGATAGAGGAATTAGGATCTGAGTATCTTTGACAGCCATTATTCAGCACACCACAATCAGCTCTCTGTTCCATTCCCTAAAATTCACATCTAACGCACGTGCAAAATATATTCACCCCATTCCAAATTTCCTAAAAGTCTGAACCCATTACAATATCAATTCATGTTCAAATTCCCACCTAAATATCATCAACTCAAAAGTCTCAAATCTCATAATCTAAATCAGCTAAACAAGGTATGAGTGACACTCTGTGTATGATCCATCATGCAGCAAAATTCTCCTCTCTCTATGGACTTCTGAAACTAGAAATCAAGTTATCTTCTTCCAAAATACATGAGTGGGACAGGCATGGAATACTAGTTAAAGGCATTGTCATTCAAAAGGGAGAATATGGAGGGAAGAGAGGAGTCACCAGTCTCAAGCAATTTTGAAATCCAGTAGGGCAAATTCCACTAAGATTTCAAGGCCTGGGAATAACCCTCTGTGGCACAAGACTCTGGTCCTGAGGTCTTACCTCTGGGCCTGAGGTTCCCTCTCCGAATCATTCTTCCTTTTTCATGAAAAATATAATGTGTTTGTAGCTAAATTATTTTACTAGTCTGTTCATTTTGTCCTCTCTCTGACCCTTTGTCCACACTGGTGTTTCTACTAGCATAACATTCTCAGAAGCCTTGTGAATCTCCCTGCATGTCACAGAGACGCACTCCATTAGGTGAAAGGCTCCTTCATAGGTCCCTTGTGAATACTCTCATTCCTGTTCCTGACTTCTGCTGAGATGGCTCAGGAGATCCATAAATCTAATCTAACTTAACCTAATCTCTTCACCAAGGCAAAAGGCTGCAGTGCCACATCCTTGACTTTCTCTCCAGAGCTTACTTTCTTGACAGTTAATATCTTAATGTTAGCACCTTTTACAGTCTGGAGAGGCTGAGAATTTCCCAAATCATCAAGTCCTGTCCTTTATTGCGTAACAGTTCTTCCCTCTATTCATCTCTCTCCTCTCACATTTTACTATAAGCAGCAAAAAGAAACCAGGTCTTGCTTTCAATGCTTTGCTTAGAAATCTCTTTAGCTAAGGTGTTCGGCCTTCCACATAATGGCAGGACACAGTTCAGCTGAGCTGTCTCTGTGCCGTATCTCCAGCTTCCTATAATGTGCTCCTCCTCCTTTCTGAGCCACCAGCAGTAGAGCACATTAACACTCTCACCAGTATTCTGTTTAAAGTAACTTCCATATTCTTCAGAACAACAGAGGCTTTCTCAACTGTGCTCCTTATTTCCTGCTGAGCTCTCAACAGCAGTGCGTTAATGTCCATAATTCTACCAACAGACTGTTGAAAACAATCTAAATCTGTCAGGCAACATAAAAATTCTTCCAGCCTCAATTATCCAATTTCACTGCCACTTCCACATTTCTAGGTGTTTGTGACAACAGCACCCCATTTCCTGGTACCAAAATCGGGTTAGTTCCAAATCACCACAAAATTGGAGGCTTTAACAACAATAATTTATTGTTTTATGTTCTGGAGGCCAGAAATCCTAAATCAGTTTCACTGAACGAAAGTCAAGGTGTTGCCAAGGTTGATTCCTTCTGGAGATTCTGAGGAAAGAATCTGTTCCTTGCCTTTTTCATCTTCTAGTGTTCCTTGGCTTATGGCCCCATCTTTATGATTTCAAAGCACATCATCCCAGTCTGCTTCCGTCATCACATCACCTTCTCCATCCCTGTACCAAGAATCTCTCTACTTCCCTTTTACATTTAGGTCCCATTTGGATAATAAATGATAATCTCTCCATCTCAAAATCATATCTGTAAAGTCCCTTTCACCATATAACATCCAACATTTCCAGCGATTTTTATCTCAATATCTTTGGAGCTGTTATCTGGCCTACTATAGTTGGTATGCATAATATCATGAAACTCCAAATAGGAATACTTGTGAGACTTGATGAAATCACTCTAAAGTTCAGTTGTGTCATCTATAGCACTTAGTAATCTCTTTAAGCCTCATTGCCTATCTGTAAAGTAGATGTAATTCAAGCACCTTCCACAGTCTAATGCAGACCCTGGAATGGTAGTCATGATTGGATCAGCTAACTAGTCTTCTTGCCTCCAGCTCTTCACAGCTTTATATCTGTTATTCATGTTGCAAACAGAAATACATCCCAAACTGGATTCCAAGATTTAGGTTTTGGTTCCACTAGTTGGGTGAACTGGAGTCAATGGTGGTTCTAGAATTTCAATACAGAGTGAAGTTTAGGGAAGAAATCAGATGAAAAAGGAGACTAAAGAACTTGTCATGAAACGACACCTACATAAAACAAGCTCATTGTTTTTACTGATGACAGCACATATTTATTTTGGGTGATTTAGTGAAGGAAGGAGCTTATTGCAGCATTCCCTTAATGCCACCATACCTTCAACACGCTAACCTTGGTTTCATCTATAAAACTGAAGTGTTACAATACATCCTCATAGGGATGTTGTGAGGATTATAGTATATAGTATACACTGTATACTATAGTATGTAGTATAACCCACAACATAATAAAATATAGTATATGGCGTATAGTATGTATAGTATAATGCATGCAAATATCTTGGCACAGTGCCTGCAACACAATAAAGCACTCAATATACTCTTCTCAAACCTCTTTGACTCCCTATTACCTAAAATACAGGAACCTCCAAGACATGCCTAGTCACAAGCAATCGTTACAGTGTCATCCCCTCCAACATTTATTCAGAGTGTCTATTATTCACTTCTTGCTTCCTAGGCCCCAGATATCAATATGGTTCCCTCCTTCGCTTCCTTTGTTACCTGCTCAAGCATCACCTTATCAAAAAGCCCTTTCCTAACTTCCCACTATAAAACAACACACACACACACACACACACACACACACACACACACACACACACACACACACACGCAGGCAACTTCCTACACCCCCTTACCACTCTATTTTCTCCACAGCACTCCACAGATATAGACATACGGATTTAGAGAGATACAATTTTTCCCTACCAGAAAGTAAGCTCCTTGAAGGTAACAATTCTGTTTAGTGCTGAGTTATGTATGTATTCTCAGCTTCTGTAACAGTATTTAGCACACAGTTGGCACGCAAATATGTTGTATGAATATTCACACAAAATTTATGTTGTTTCCTCAATCTGAGATGCCCTCTCTGCACTGCCACTTACCAAAATTCTACTCACTCCTCAAGTCCACTCACATATACTTCTTATATGAAACTTCCTAATTCAGCCAGGCAGAACTCATTGTTCTCTCAGTTGTTACGTGTTTATAATTGTATTTAGTTCTCATTTCACTCTAACATGTAATTTTTTTTGAGAAAGCAGGATTTATTGAGAAAACCTCCCACAGTGGAGGGGACCCGAAGGGGTTGCCCCATCTTGTAATTTTTATTATTATTTTGGTTTTTGCTTTTATCTCTAGATTATAAACTCCTTAAAGCAGAGTCTATGTTCCATCTTTCGATCATATATAAGGTCACCTTCCTTACCCACTACCTAATAGCACCATCACCATCACAGGAACTTATGTTTAAAGAGACAGGTACTCAATATTTGAATTATTTGAAGGAAAGGAAAAGGCATTTCAGAACAAAAAAACTGAAGCAGATGCTAGGGTGTGCAAAGTGGTGTGCTATTTTTTAAGTAGATATAAAACTGCTACTTCAGAAGAAGAGTTGGAGGAAATACAAGTAAATTGTTTCTATGAAATGCTATTAATATGACCACAGTTTAATTTATTAGCTGCCAAATATTAGTAAAGTCTTATTTTTAAGAAAACTGAAGGAGTTCAAACTATTCTGGCAAAAAGCAACAGAAAGTATCTCTAAGAAAACCAAGGTGATAGGCTAGTTAGATAACATGTTTTGATTGGTTCACCTTTTGTGATTCTTCATGATGTCACTAAACTCATCCCTGAGTCACTATGACTGATGATGTTACAATGATCATCAGTATATACTTTGCTGGGTATATTTTTGCTGACTGGCAAGATTGTCTAAATGCCTTTACTGAAGTGCCATATTAATGAATAATTCCGAGCATTTTCTGCTGTCTTTAACCAATTTTCTAAATATAAAATTTTTTCCGAGTTGAAAGAGAAAGATGTCTAATCAAGAACTATCCTCAATTTTTCCTCTGCTGTTTATCTGCTTCTTTAGGGAGAGCTTCTGCATTTGTGATGGAACTCTCTGGACAAAGGTTGGATGGGAGATTTTTCCAGAAGAAGTATACTGTCTGAAAGCTAAGCCTTCACCATCTCACTGTCTACCTTACCCTTTGAACAAACTATGCTGCAACTTTGCTAGCATGGATATATTTCAGGGTTGTCTACATCTCATTTATATTTTTGCACAAGCCCTCTTTTTAATCCTATCTGTATTATCTGTGCATTACCTATGGATGAAATGGAAGAAACACACAAAAAAGGTAAGTTAGTGATGCAAACAGTAATAGTTTATAAATCTGAGTTTAGAACAAGATTCTATGTTTTATTTCTCTTTGTAAACATCCTCCTCCCCATTCATCCCAGCATCTAGCTCTGCGTCCTGCATATACTGGTACTCAACAAATGTGTACTGAATTAGAAGATCCTTAAAAGCATCTAGTCCCCTCTGTTTCAAATTACAAAATACATATGTATAGGAATAAATGTATAGGAAATGAAGTTATCTATCTGTTGCCTTAAGTAATTCATATTCTTTCTCAGCTGCCCTCTCCACAAAAATGAAGGATTTGAAACAAGAGATCTCTTAGAACCCTTCCAGATCTAAGAAATCTAAGTAGAAAAGTTGGCATGCATTTTTTAAATGGACTATAAACTAATATCTAATGCTAAAACAACTTCCTGGGAAGTCGAGCTTTTAAACTAATTTCCCACTTTGCCAATAGATAACACCATAGTTAGAGGCAATCTTAAAAGCTTGTTGACTTAAAAAAAAACTCACTGACTTTCAGAATAATTAGATACTTTATAAAAGTAGTCTTATTTTTGAAATGAATGTGATTTTATGGTATTATTTCTTGAGGAGCTTGAATAAAGGAAAATATTTTGCTAATATTCAAATAATGTCTCCAAGAAGAGTGCTCTAAATATTGAAGGCACTGATTGCTGATGGTAATAGTGATCTTATATGGAGCATGGTGATCTTATATGGAGCATACCATATAGTGATCTTATATGGATCTTATATGGAACATTTTTTCTGCACTTCTGCCGTTCTTCTATAGTAAACTTTCTTTTGTATAAATAATTGATGCATGATGTTTCTTACAGAGTTTATGTATTTAGAATACAAATTTAATTTGACTATAGTAAGATAAAATCTGTATTACTATTTTTTCTTTTAGCTGAAAAAACAAGCCTCCTTAGATAAAAGTGGTCATCATCTAGAAAGTCCATCCAGCTATGACATTGACCAAATACTCTGCAGACTGGTGACCACAACATCACTGATGTCTGAGTACCTGAAGCTGGTGTCCCACAGTCCTTCCTTTAAGAAAACTAAACACCGAAAATTAACGAGGAAGAAGAGTGAAGGAGAAAGAGCCAGAGAATATTAACATATGCATATGCAAATGTAGCTCAGTCAAATACAGAAATTATAAAACAAATATATCAGGAGGACTCATGTAAGGATAAAAATAGTTCTTCCGAACTTGTGTAAATTTGTTGCCAGAATCTTTGCTGAAATTTTCAAAAGTAGTCTGAGTTGAAAAATTACTTCCATTCAACTAAAAAAGAAATCATCCTTACAAAAGTACTGGAGAAAATAATTGTATACTATGATTGCTACATGTTTAAATATTTTGTTCTTAATTGTTAGATTAACCAATCTCTAGAATAGAAGCTCAGGTTCGTGTTTCAATAAATCTTTGATTTAAAAAATATCTGTGACCTTATTTTCCTGAGCAAATATTATAACCACCAGAATATTTTTAATTTTTCCTCTCTGATTGTTAGAATAGCATGGAAATATTAAGGAACAGATTAATTTTTTTTTTTGAGTCGAAGTCTCACCCTGTCACCCAGGCTGAAGTGCAGTGGCACGCTCACAGCCACCGTAGCCTCAAACTGCTGGGCTCAGGCAATCATTCCATCCCAAGTAGCTGGAACCACAGGTGTGCCCCACTATGCCTGGCTAATTTTTTGATTTATTGTAGAGACATCTTGCCAAGCTGCCCAGGCTGGTCTCGAACCCCTGGGCTCAGGTAATCCTCTTGCCTCTGACTCCACACCTGCTAGGATTACAGGTGTGAACCACTGCTCCCACCCAGATTAGTTTTTTTGTTGAGTTGGAGTCTCACTCCGCCACCCAGACTGGAGTGCAATGGCATGCTCACAGCCATCTCAGTGTCGACCTGCTGAGCTCAAGTGATTCTTCTGCCTCAGCCTTTCAAGTAGCCGGAACTACAGGTGTGCGCTACCATGCCTGGCAAATTTTTTGATTTATTGTAGAGATGAGGTCTTGCCAAGTTGCCCAGGACGTTCTCAAATCTGTGGGCTCAGGCAATCCTCTCACCTTGGCCTCTCAAAATGCTGGGATTACAGGCTTGAGCCACCACGCCTGACCTCAGATTAATTTTTAAAAGTATAAATTTTCACATTTTCAGTATAATAAATGGTGAATTACATACCAACTTTTTTTACATTTCAGACATTGTTGATAAGACACTTCAATTGTTTTAAAGTATGGTTTCCATATTTTCCAAAGAAAAACTAGGAGATGGACCTAAGACTAGAATGGAAGATTTGTTTAAAACATTTTGAAAACTCCCAGAAAAACATTCCATATCTATAACATACCTGCCATCATTATAAGGGGAAAAAATTTTAGAACATAATCCTTGAGACAGTAATAAGTAACTGTACAATTTTTAAAGTAATGGAAAAGAATAGTGCTTGGGCTACTATAGATTATTAGGAGTTTACTTCTGGTTCCACTTTCCAGACTCTCCTTTTTCCCTCCATTCCTCAGCTCAACCCCTCGCCCCACATTTCCATAAATTCTCCATGACTTCAGAGTTCTGAACTGTCAGCTAACTCCCTCTAAGAGAATATATACCAGGGGTGCCAAAAAAATGCACATTTTAAAAGATGTTATGTATGTATTACTTTCCAAACTTGAATCGAATGATGGTTGCAACATCTAGTATGACATTCACTTAAAAAATGGTGTTAATTAAATGAATGCTAGCATTACCATGTGACAGGCAGCACACTCAAAGAAAATGGTGGAAGTATGGCTGTCATTTGAGGATTGCAAGATCATTTTGAAGTGGTATTTGACTCAGCATTCCTTGACTTCTAGCCATGAGTGTCCTTAAAGGATGTGGTGTGCTACAGAAAATTGGTACACTAGTGGTACGTCAGCAAGAAATTGAAAAGGCATGCACAGCGAAACAAGTGGATGCTTTGATAACATTACTCAAGCAGTAGCTCCCCATAATCAGAAGTGTCTGGACACTGATGGTAACCACTCTGAGCACCTCTTGTAATTGCATAAGTCAAATGTGACTTGTATTCATCTTTTGTTATCAGTATATATTGAGTATTATAATTTTACTACAGTTTTTTCCTTTCTTAAAATGTGTATGTACATTTTTGGCATACTCTGTATATATATCCCTTTTAGTGGAGATATATATATATATATATATATATATATCCCTTTTAATGGAGAACCCTGGCAGATTAAAAAAAAATATCCTCACCTCTAAAACCCAAAGAAATTTATCTCTAATAATGGGATTTTCAGTAACATGGTAGAGACTATGAGGGTAGGGAGACTTCAAGCCCTTAAATTTCTTCAGGTAACTCTTTTTTTTTTTTTTGAGTTGGAGTCTCACTCTGTCCCCCAGACTGGAGTGCAGTGGCCGCTCCCAGCCACCGCAGCCTCGACCTGCTAGGCTCTGGCGATCCTTCCGCCTCAGCCTTCCAAGTAGCCGGAATTACAGGCATGTGCTACCACGCCCGGCTGATTTTGTGATTTTATTGTAGAGATGAGGTCTCACTGCCCAGGCGGATCTCGAACCCGCAGACTCAGGCAATCCACTCACCTCAGCCTCCCAAAGGCGTGGGATTGCAGGCTGAGCCACCAAGCCCGGCTCTTCAGGTAACTCTTAATCATTAGAAGGAGAAATGGAAGTGATGTATACTCTAGATTAAAGTCTGAATTTAAAAGTGTTAAATTTTATGTTGAGTAATTTACATTTCTGCCTTCCCAGGACTACATTACTATGAAGCTCCAATCCTAATTTAATCATTGATCTGGAAACACTAGTTTACTTTATATAGTCTTCTTTTCTTTTCATCACTAAGACATATTAGGTATAATTTATCCAAGAACCAAGGACCCAAATTAAACAGACAGATATTATGGGGAAAGAAACCAAGGACTTCACATTCATAAGCCCCAAACAACTTCTTTTCAGAAAAGTGATAGTAAAATTTGTCTCTAGACTGTGATTTGTTTAAGTACCATGGATTGCTTATTTTTCAAAAATGAATTTTAAACTATGGAGTATAAATTTCATCTGTAATTGTTATTCATGGGGAAATTAATTGAATTCTTTGCTTTTGTGTTCTCCTTTTACTTACAGATCTAATAATAAAATTGAAGATCTTGACATATGAAAGATTATTCCTAGAAAGCATTTCATACAAGTGAACTAATCATAATAATCAATTATATAATAATTAATAATTAATAAAAATAATCTACAAAGCACAACTTATCTCTTTCTCCCCAAATGTTTCCTTTCTTTCCTTATTTCCATCAGTTCTCCTAGTCTTCTCATTTTACAGATGAGCAAGTTCCAGCTGAATCTTCCTAATTATCACTTTCATCCTCTTTCTTTTCTACATAAAAACTTTCAGTTGCTCCCAGTGTGAAATAAAAACACCTTAACCTGACATTTGAAGGGATAAACCAACTGTAATAAGAGCAGTAGCATTTTTTAAGTGCTGACCACATGCCAGGCGTTGTAACTGCTTTACATCATCTCATTCAATTCTCACAACAACCCCCAAGATCTAAGAAGTATTATTGGCCCCCTTTTCCAGAAAAGGAAACTAGGTATAAATAATTTAAGTGCCTTGTCCAAGGTCACATAGGTTTCACCTTGTCACCGTCCCCCGATAAGCCACTTTCATTCACAGCACTATGATTTTTGTTCACGCCCTTTCCCCTTTCTACTGTGTTTCCAAATCCAACTCATTCTTCAAGGTCCAGCTCAAGTCTGACGTGCTCTGACTTCCTGTTCTCTAACTACCCTGTGACATGGACTTCCCACTCTGCCAATTTTAACCCTGAATCACAATCTTTCTGATAAATAACTGTTGAATGTGTCTACACCTTACCGTTCCCCACTTAGCAACTGTCCAGAGGGCAGGAACAACCAATTGTACCTACAATACTATGCTCATAATGGGCAGTTGATAAATCCTTGCTAGAAACATGAAAGCAGATAACCACGCAAAATAAATGCCATGAACTTCGTAAGTACTAGTTTTTTAACCAGTGTTTGTGAACACATACATGGTTACATAGATATATCTTTCTGAAACCTCTTTAAGCTATGTTCTATGGGGCTATGGGAATGATGTAAGCAAAATATTAGCAAAATAGCAAAGTTTTTTTTAACCTTGTATTGAAGTATAACATACATACAGAAAAGTGCAAAAATTATGTGCACAACTCAATGAATTTTCACAAATGAGCATACATGTAACTAGCAATCAGATCAAGCAAAAGAACATTACATCCCAGAAGTCTTCTTATGTCTTAAGGGTAACTACTATTCTGGCCACTAACACCATAGATTAACTTTATCAAAATAAATGACTCCTACATTATTATTACAACATTTTCTGAGGACTCAAATATCTTGTTCAAATATGATAGTTTTTTAAACATGTAAGGAATGGTTCACTTTGGCTGGGTCTCTTAGAAGATAGCCTTGAACATATATTGTACATAAATTCTTACTGAAAATTATTGGTGATTGTTAGAAGTTGGTAAGTCACTAAGCTTCCAACACGTACAGTTCGTATGAAGTATGAAGGGGGACCAAAAAAATTTATTTTTTGGAGGGCAGGCCCATTGTACTACAGGCTTCCCCTACTAGGTAAGTGTTCTGGGAACCCATCGGCATCAGTGTCCCAGTTACTGTGTTGCTAAGAGTCTGCGTTTGGCTTCAGTGAATTTTTTTTTGGAGATTCTTTCAATGTATTTGGCCGTTTCATGATGGGTGATTTACACAAACAACCTGTTCACACTGAGACGAATGTTCAGCAATTTTTGACCAAAAATGGCATGACACCCCATCCTCCTCCCCCTGCACCGTGTCCCACCCTCCAAAATCACCTGATCTCACCCCAAGCAACTTGTTTTGTTTTCCTGATGAAAAAAGTCCTCAGAGGGAAACATTTTGCTGACGTGAAAGAGGTGAAACAAAAAATGGCCAAAGCCCTAAAAGGCATCAAAATGGACAACTTCAAAAACTGTTTTGAGCAGTGGAAAAAGCATCTCAATAAGTGAATTGCATCAAACGGAGAGTGCTTTGAAGGTGACTGAAGTTTAAACATGTAAGAAGAAACACACAATTTTGTCTAAATAAATTTCAGATTATTTTAGGTTCCCCTCGTACAATGTTTAAGGCCAATAGCAAAACAGGAAAAAAGGGCAGATTTCATATATTATTGCCACCTGTGAAAGTAGTTGTGTTTACAGATAAAACATCTTGATGAAAGGTGACACTGCCTGTAACTCACAGGAGAAAATTCCATCACATCAGTTTGGTAACACCTTGGGATCTCCCATACCTGCCCAGTCCAGGAATTCAACACACTCAGTCTGGGAATACCTAGCAGCAACATCTCGAGCTCTTTCCTCCCGAAAGTTCAAAGCTTCTATATCAACATCCAGTTCTACCAGTGCTTTTAAGGTTTCCAAACGACCCCAGGCTGCAGCACAGTGTAAGAGTGTATACCCTAACACATAGAATGAAAATGGGCAGACCAAATAGACTATATTGTTTCAGGCTCTTTTATGTAATAGAAGATCATAGCTATCAAGTTTTGAATAATCACTATGGGCCAGAAGCTATTCTGAGAGCTTTACACAGCGTAAACTTCGTTTATAAAACTTCTACAATATCAGAAGTTACAATCCTCATTTCACAGATAAATGAGGTATAATGATAAAGGAGACTACCATGAGCATAATTGTAAAGGTGATAAACACGAAAGTCATCTTTAAAATGTTTTCAGACTAATTTAAAAAAATCAAATCAAAGATCATTGAACTTACCCACAAGGATACACAGACATACCTAATTATATTGCACTTCACTTGTGCTGAGAAAAACAGTTCTTAAGCTTTCTAGAGACTCCCAGTTTTGATTGAAGAGATGGACTTGTATGTCCTTAATCTCTGTGTCTACTCTGATCTTTCCAACATGTCAACAAAGGGCGGTAGAGTAACACATTCAGTTTTTGTAGGGTTTTTTGCTGTTGCTTTTTCCTAGAGCATGCTTTTCAGGCAGTGAATCTCTTAATTTTAATGGCTTTACCACGTGGATAGACTTAGAATTTCCCAAATTATCAAGTCCTTCTATCAATTTATCTCCTTCCTCTAGCATTTAAACTATAAGCAGCAAGAAAAAACCAGATTGCACCTGTAAAACTTAACTTGGGAATCTCATCTCTGAATTAGAATATTTCATGGTGGGCATAAATCAGAATGAAAGATATAGGTTATTTTAGTGTACATCACACTCTTAAAGACTGTATGCCTATAACCTCTACTGGAAAATACCTACTAAAAGAATGGCAATATTTACTTCAATCAGTCACAATAAAACCTCCCATTCATACTGTTAGGGACATACTGTCAAATATTGATTTGGGGCACTCTTTTTCCTTTATGTAGTATGGTTTTTAGATATTATGCCATTTTTATAGATGAAAAGGTTATACAATTTGCCTAAGTCTTGTAGCCAATTTAGTAGAAGGGTTTTAAAATCCGTGCTTTTAACCATCTATTATATAATCCTTTTGCAACTTGATTTTTGTCTCAATATTATGTTTTCTAGTGTTACCCATTTGAAAACCCAAATTCATTCCTTTTAACTATTGTATAATATTGTTGTGTGAACATATCATAATGTATTTACCTACTCCCCTATTAATTTATGTTGTTTCCAATTATTCACTGTCATAAGCAATACTTGAATAATCATCCTTGTACAAATATATCCTTGTGAGCAAGTGTGAGAGTTTCCCAAAGATACATATCTAGAAATGAAAATCTCAGTCATCAAGTGTCTGTTCATTTGCAACTTTATACAAATGTTCTCAAAAGTGAATTTACCAATTTACACTCCTCCAGCAGAATGAATTCCCACTTCCCACATCTTCACCAGTATTCAATGTTGTCAAATATTTAAATTTTTCCCAATCTGATGAGTAATTCATATTAGTTTATTGTTTAAATTTGCATTTTAATAGTGATGCTTCATATATTTATTGGACATGAGAGTTTTTCTCTTTTATTTATTTTCTATTTTTATTTTTTTAAGTCAGACTCTCACTCTGTTGCCCAGGCTGGTGTGCAGTGGCATGCTCATGGCCACCACAGTCTTGACCTGCTGGACTCAGTTGATATGTCTGCCTCAGCTTTCCAAGTAGCTGGAACTACAGGCATGCATCACCACATCCACTAATTTTTTAAAAAATTTAATTGTAGAGACATTTTGCTAAATCTGATATACTATGTACCATATCAGGAGTTCTAAACATTAGAGTTTTCATTGTTAATTTATACTATAAAATAGTTAAAGCCTGGCAGTATATAAGATCATAAAAACACATATGTATATCTATAATTTATATTCTATTAAATATGCAGATATTTAATATCCAATAATAATAGTAAAATATAAGACAATAGTAGCATTAAGGTAGAGAATGGAAGTATGTTATATTAAAGTTTTTATATTGTATGTGAAGGTAAACTGTTTTTTGGGGGGGTTTTGTTTTGCTTTTTTGGAGTTGGAGTCTCACTCTTGTCACCCAGGCTGGAGTGCAGTAGCACGCTCATGGCCACCACAGCCTCAACCTGCTGGGCTTAAGTTATTCTTCCCCCTCAGCCTTCCAAGTAGCTGGAACTACAGACACATGCCACCACACCTGGCTAGTTTTTGTACAGGTGCACATTGTAGAGATGAGGTTTCACCAAGTTGCCCAAGCTGGTCTCAAATCCCTGGGCTCAGGTAATCCTCTCGCCTCGGCCTCCCAGAATGCTAGGATTACAGGCTGAGTCACTGCGCCTGGCCAAGGTAAACTATTAAAATGTATATTATAAACCCTAAAGCAACCTAAAAATCAAAGATTTGTAGCTAATAAACTAACAAAGGAGATAAATAGAATAACAAAATAACCCAAAAGAAAGCATGGAAAAAGAAGGGAAATGGAGCAAAGAAAAAGTGGGAGAAATAGAAAAGAAATAACAACATAATCATTTTGAAATGAAGCATAATATTGCATTAAATATAAATGACCCAAACATCTACATTAAATGGCAAAGAAGAGTAAGATTCAACTATAAACTACCTACAAAAAAATCCCACTTTAAATATAAAAATACAAGCTGGGCACGGTGGCTCAAGACTGTAATCCCAGGACTTTGGGAGGCCAAGGTGAGAGAACTGCCTGAACCCAGGGGTCCTAGACCACCCTGGGCAACTTGGTGAGATCTGTCTCTACAATAAATAAAAAAATTAGCTGGGTGCGGTGGCACGCACCTGTCATTCCAGCTACTTGGAAAGCAGAAGTGGAAGAATTGCCTGAGCCCAGTAGATTGAGGCTGCGGTGGCTATGAGTGTGCCACTGCACTCCAGCCTGGGCGACAGGGTGAGACTCTAACTCAAAACCATTAAAAGAGATTAATAAAAGAATAGTTCAACAAGCAAATGGAAAAATATTCCATGCTCATGGATTGGAAGAGTCAACATTGTTAAGATGTCCATCCTACCCAAGGCAATCCACAGTTTTAATGAAATATCCATTAAATCACCAGTAGCATCTTTCTCAGACCTGAAAACAATACAGGAATTCATATGGAAACATAAACAACCACGAATCTCCAAAACAATCCTCAGCAAAAAAAAAAAAAACAACAAAAAAAAAACAAAGCAGGAGGTATCACATTGCCAAACTTTAAACTTTATTATAAAGCTACAATAATCAAAACAGCCTGGTATTGGTTCAAGAACAGGCATACAAACCAATGGAACAGGATAGAGATTCTGGAAGCAAAATCTCAATTTCTCAACCAACTCATCTTTAACAAAGCCTCCACCACCAACCACTGGGGAGAGGAGAACCTGTTCAGTAAATGGTGCAGAGAAAATTGGCTGACCACATGCAGAAGATTAAAACAAGACCCCTACCTATCCCCATACACAAAGATCAACACTAAATGGATCAAAGACCTAAACGCAAAACCTCAAACTATAAGAATCCTTATGGAAATTGGAACTGGCAACCAATTCCTGATCAAAACCCCAAGGGCCCATGCCATAAGTGATAAGATAGACAAGTGGGATCTCATCAAACTGACAAGCTTCTGCAAAGCCAAAGAAACCATCAAAAGAACAGGGAAACAGCCCACAGACTGGGAAAAAATATTTTCTAACTATATGTCTGACAAAGACCTAACATCTAGGATCTCCAAGGAACTCAAACGTGCCGAAAAGAAAAAAAACAAACAGCCCCATTACAAAGTAGGCAAAAGATATGAACAGACACTTCTCAAAAGAAGACATATGAGCAGTCAACAGATACAAGAAAAAATGCTCAGCCTCACAAGTGATCAAAGAAATGCAAATTAAAACGACATTGAGATACCACCTAACTCCAGTCAGAATGGCCATCATCAATAACTCAAAAAATAACAGATGCTGGAGAGGATATAGGGAAAAGGGAACACTTCTACACTGTTGATGGGAGTGTAAACTAGTACAACCTCTGTGGAAAACTGTGTGGTGATTCCTAAGAGATCTAAAAATCGACCTTCCATACGACCCTGCAATCATCCTACTGGGAATATACCCAGAAGAACTCACATCGCTCTGTAAAAAAGATACTGCACATGTATGTTTATTGCAGCATGTTGACAACAGCAAGAACATGGAACCAACCATGTAGCCCATCAAAAGAGGACTGGATTTTTTTTTAAATGTGGTACATATACATGATGTAATATTACGCAGCCATACAGAACAAAATCACGAACCTCACAGCAACCTAGATAGACTTAGAGTCCATAATACTGAGTGATCTTTCACAGAAACAAAGAACTGAGTATTACATGTTCTCACTCGCAAGCGGACCTTGAACAACTATCGTAATACTATAAGAAAAGGATTGACGGCGTGAAACTGTGGGGGTACAGGGGGTGGGTGGGGAGGTGGGATTGACAGTAGTGGGAATCTGCCTGGGGAAGGGGGGCACATCTCATCAACAAGGGTACCTGAACATTTGTATACCTAGCCCTGAATCGTACCCCACATCTTTAAAATTAAAAAAAAAATGTATTGTAGAGACAAGATCTCACCAAGTTGCTCAGGCTGGTCCTGGACCCTTGGGTTCAGACAATTCTCTCATCTTGAACTCCCAAAGTGCTGGGATTATAATCGCGAGCCATAGCGCCCAGCCGAGGACCGCTCTATGAATTGTTTGTTCCTATCCTTTGTCATTTTTCTGCTGGGTTAAATTACTGCCATTGCTTAGTAGGCTATCTTTACATAGATATATCCTTTGTCAGCTGAGATTCTGCAAATATCTTCTTTCAGTCTTGTGGCTTATTTTGTCACTTTGTTCATGGTATCTTTCCCTTTAGTGGTTGTGTTCTTTATAGCTTGTTTTAAGAAATCCTGTGATATCTCAAGAAATAACAATATTCCTCTAATTATTTTTCAGAAAGTTTATAACTTTTGCTCTTCACATTCATATTTTACAAGTACCTATAACTGATTTTTATGTGTGGTACAAAGTAGGTATATAATTTTACCTGTTTTTTTCCAGATGAATAACTAACATTCTCTGGGATCATATACTAAACAGTTTACCATTTTCCTCTGAAATGTAGGGTCAGCTTCTTATTTCACACTTTTAAACAATCTTCTGGGATAGTAATTAGATTGATAAATGAATTTGGAAGAAATTAAGAGAGACATCATTAAGATATCACCATTTGAGATATATATACATATAACACACACGCACTTTGGATATTCTTTGATACATTTCAGTAAAGTTTTCTACTTTTTGCCATAAATGTCTTTCAATTCTTTTTTCAGATTTATTATTAGTTTCTGTATCTTTTTTTCTGAGTTGGAGTCTAACTTTGTCACCCAAACTGGAGAGCAGTGGCACACTCCCAGCCACCGTAGCCTTGACCTGCTGGGTTCAGGCAATCCTTCTGCTTCAGCCTTACAAGTAGCTGGAACTACAGGCGCACGCTACCACACCTGGCTAGTTTTTTGATTTATTGTAGAGATGAGGTCTCACCAAGTTGCCCGGGCAGGTCTCGGACCCGCGGGCTCAGGCAATCCACTCACCTAGGCCTCCCAAAGTGCTGGAATTATAGGCTGAGCCACCGAGTCCAGCCTCCGTATCATTTTTTTTATTAACAAGATATTTATTTTTATGACATTATCTGACTGTTGATGATATCTAGAAAGTCACTGATTTGGGATATTGGCCTTACGCTCATATTCTTGCTAAACTCTATCAGTACTGTTAGTAGATTGTCTTGAATTTAAGTGTATGTGCCTATGGATAACAAGAGTTTTGCTTCTTCTACTCTAATTCTTGTACCTACTAGTATGCTAGTAAATGTATAAAACATCCTCTGGAGGGAAAAGCTCTAATTACCATCAGTCAATTACCATAATATATGTGGCCCAGTATGGTTCCATAGTTCCTTGGTTGGTTAGTTGGTTTGTTGGTTGGTTCGTTCCTTCCTTCCTCCCCCCTCCTCTTTTGAGTTGGAGTCTCACTCCATTGCCTAGACTGGAGTACAGTGGCACACTCATGGCCACCCCAGTTGGGCTCCAGCGATACTTCCACCTCAGTCTTCCAAGTAGCTGGAACTACAGGAATGCACTACCATGCCCAGCTAATTTTTTTTGTATTTATCGTAGAGATGAGGTCTTGCCAAGTTGCCCAGGCTGGTCTCGAACGCATGGGCTCAGACAATCCACTCACCTCGGCCTCCCAAAGTGTTAGGATCATAGGCTGAGGCACTGAGCCCAGCCTGGTATGGACAATTTCAAGTACCAACAACATGTCAACCAATTCTCAAAGCCCCTAAAAATGTTTATCAATCAGTTCTTCATAGCTGGTAAAAGCTGGTAATAGCATAGTGCTGTGCTATTTCTCTTATTCTTCTTGTCTTGCTACATTTTCTAGAACTTCTATTAGAAGGATGAATGGAAGCAGTGATAGTGAATATTATAGTCTTATTTCTGTTTTTTCATTTTTTTTTTCTGAGTTGGAGTCTCTGTCACCCAGGCTGAAGTGCAGTGGCACAATCATGGCTTACCGGCCTCGCCTCGGCCTCCTGGGCTCAGGTGATCCTTCTGCCTCAACCTCCCAAGTAGCTGGGACTACAAGCGAGCACCACCACACCAGGCTAAATTTTAGATGTTTTTATTTTTTGTAGATATGATGTCTCCCTGTGTTGTCCAAGCTGGCCCTGAACTCCTGGGCTCAAGCAATCCTCCCTCCTCAGCCTCTCAAAGTCCTGGGATTACAGGTGTGAGCTGCTGCATCTGGCCTTGTTTCTAATTTTAAATAATGTTTCTGAAAATTCAATATTAGGTAAGTATGCTTCAGATTTTTGATAGACAACCTTAAGGGAAGTTTCTTCTATTACAATTTCCCTGAGAGCATTCATCTTGAATTAGTGCTACATTTTTTAAAGTGACTTGTCTACATCTATTGACATGATCATGTTTTGCTTAATCTTTTATTGTAGTTAATTACACTAATATTTTTGTAATGTTAAAACCATACTTTCATTCATGGGATAAACCCAACTTAGTCCAATAAATTTTTGTGTATATGATGAAAATTATTTATTTATAATGGAGAAATTAAAATTGCATAGATTTATCATGCACAAGAAGTTGTTCTGAAATATTTTTGCATTACAGAATAGCTAAATCAAGTTAATTAACATAAGGATCTCACAGATTTATTCATTTATTTGGTGAGAACATGTAAAATCTAATCTCCAAAAAATTCTTTAATATACATTCTTAGATTCAATTTGTTAGTATTTTATTTAGGATACTTGTATCTATGTTATTAAATATGTCTGCTGGGCATGGTGGCTCATGCCTATAATCCCCAGCACTTTGAGAGGCAGAGGAGAGAGGAATGCCTTTGCCCAGGAGTTCAAGACCAACCTGGGCAACTTGGCAAGACTTCATCTCTACAATAAATAAATAAATTAGCTGGACACAGTGATGTGTATGTGTAGTTCACCTACTTGGAAGGCTGAGGCAGAAAGATCACCTGAGCCCAGCAGGTCAAGGCTGCTGTGACCGTGAGCATGCTGCTGCGCTTCAGCCTGGGCAACAGAGTAAGACTCTGACTCAAACTCAAAAAAAATTTTTTTTATCAGCCTATAAATTTCCTTTCTAGTACTGTCATTAATCCAATTTTACTATAAAATTTCTCTCTCTCATAAAATAATTCGGACAACTTTCCAACTCTCCAGATATTCTCCAGAACATTTCTATAAACTAGGGATTACCTTTTCTCCTAAAACTTTTAACAGTCTTTATCTTTAAAAACATTTGAATATGGAATATGATGAGGAGCCAGGGGTTAGGAAGGCAGATTTTTATAACTTATTCAATTTATTTAATAACTGGTGATCTAGCCAAGAATTCTATTTTTTTCTTGAATCAATTTTAGTAATTTATATTTAATTGGAAATTGTTCATTTCATCCAAGATTTCAAAATATATTGTCAAACACATTAAGTTGTTCATAATAGTTTCTCATGATTTTTTAACTTAATTATGTTGCGTTAATGTTCCATTTTTTCAGTTCCAAAATATTATTTGAACTCTGTCTCTTTCTGATTAATATTATCAAAGGTTTTTTAACCCTATCTTTTTCACTGAACCAAATTTTGATATTGTGATCAATGTCATTATATTACTTCATTATTTTTCTTCCACTTTCTTCTACTCAGTTGTTCTTTTTATAATTTATTGAGTCAATTGCACTGCCTACTAATTTTTAATGTTTCTTGTATTCTAACATATGCATTAAACTAGAATTTTAATTTTAGATTTATCTGTCAGGTTCTGACATATAGTGACTCTGTTGTCATTTAAACATTTCTTAATTTTCATTATATCTTCTTTGACCAATAGAAAATTTAAAGTGTGTTCTTGTTTCCAAAACTATAGAGGGCTTTCAGTTATCTCTTTGTTACTATTCTCTAATTTAATTTTGTTGTGGTCGCCAGCTAGAAACTATATACTACAGACTATTTGATATTTGTTGTGACCTCCTTTATGACCCAATATATGATCAATTTCCTTAAATGTCCCATGTGAACATGAAGAGAATATATTTTATTTGCTGAAGATAATTGTTTTATTTTCTACCATGACCATGTATTATATTTGCAACCTGAAAAAAACAAATTAAATTTTAAAAGGTAATTAGATAATGACTGCTAAAAACTAATAAATCTTCAAAGGAAAGAGAATAATATTGAACATTTACTGCTTATTAATCTACTATGTGCCAAGCACTTGAAATGCATATATATTATCTTATTTAATCCTCGTAACACTTTTTAAGGAAAACATAATTATTATCCCCACTTTGCAGATGAAGAAACACAGACACAAAAAGATCAGGTACTTGCCAAGTCACACATCTAACAAAATAGTGAAGTCTGTGTTCTAAAATACTATGCTCTAAAATGTCAACATTGATACACTTACATATATAAACATATATACACTCATATATATGCATACACATATAATATATGTAAAATGTAAAGCAGACACATCAAATATATGCAAGCTTGATATTACACATCATCTTTAGATAGTTATAAATAATACTTAGGAGAGAAAAAAGAAAAAAATACCTCTGGCAATCTTTTCATTCAAATTCACACCATATTTTGCCAAAGCGCTAATCACATCACTTTGCCCAGCCATGCAAGCTGCATACAGAAAATTCCTCCCAATAACATCTTCTAAGAGTAGGTACATGGCCTGCTCATGATGATGATTCTTGGAATCCTCAAAAACCTTCTGCAAACATTTTACATCCCCTGTGAGGGCAGTTGTAAGAGGCGGTTCACGTGCCTGTTTCCTCTGGCTCTAGGACTTCTTCTTGCTGTGAGAAAAATTCTGAACTCTTTGAGGGTTCTTCTGACTCCATTAACTCCAAAAATACCTAAGACCAAAAAAAAAAAAAAAAAAAGTCATAGAAATCTATTCACTCAGTGTTGACCACTGCACAGACCAGATTCCCCTCCTCAAAAGCCTCTCTCCCCTCCCTCCACAACCACGTCTGACAAACCCGGTATGGTTGAGATCGAGAAATTTAGTAAGTCGAAACTGAAGAAGGAAATGCAAGAGAAAAATCCACTGCCTTCAAAGAAACAATTGAGCAGGAGAAGCAAATAGGCAAATCGTAAAGAGGCGAGTGCCACCAGTAGGCACTGTGCATTCCACAAGCACTGCCTTCTTATTTTACTTCCTTTAGCTATTTAACTGTAAGATGCAAAGAGGTTGGATCAAGTTTAAATGATTGTGCTGCCCCTTTTCGCATCAAAGAACTACTGACAATGAAGGCCTCCCCTGCCTCTGCCCTTTACCTGGCTTGCTGGCAGGGAAGGAAAAGAGCTTGCATGCTAGTGAAGGAAGAAGTGGGTTTGGGATGACAGTGAAATCTAGAGTAAATCAAGCTGGCCCAAGGTGTCCTGCAGGCTTTAAAATGCAGTTTAATTAGAGTGCTATTTATTGTTCAAATGATTTTAATTATTGGAACGCACAATTTTTAAAATATGCAAATAAAAAGTTTTCCTGAAAAAAAGTCTATTCAAAAAATCAGTATTTTTTGTTTATTTATTTATCTGCTCAGTTAACTGACAATATAGATGGAATGAAAATACTTAACTAGTTGAAAATAATGATAAAATATTTCTACCATTCAGTCAATACAGTTTATTGGATACCTACTATGAGTATATACCACCGTTCCTGAGCATCCACTGAAATGCTAAATGTGTGACACAAATAGTAAATTCATAGGAGTGGGAGAAGAGTGTGATCAATGTGAGCTAAATTTACTAGCAAAAGACTGAAAGAGAATGATTAAGAGACCCACCTGCCTAAACAAGAGTTCCTGTATGGGAGAAGTGAGAAATATCATTGGATTTAGGTATCATTGGAGCTGGATTATGGACTTCTTAAAAATTTGGCACTGACATTTAACAAGAATTCACTAAAACTGAAAGCTTACTAATATACTAAGTGCTATGCAGTCACCATGTAAATTAACAAAAACTCAGAATCAAATTTATCTACTGTACTCAACTTGCTATCTCAAGGGAAAAACATAACATGCACAAAATAAGTATAATAATAGGTAACAAGTAGTAAATACCAAAACAAAAGAAATGCTATAGGACTTTAGAATGGTTGCAATTAATTCCAGGTAGAGTTCATCAAATGTGTGTTTTTTCCCCTCACACCCGATGGGTAATGTGTCCATATCATAATAAGGTTTAAGGGAATCACATCTCACAATGAGTGTGAAAACCCAATCATCATGCCTATGAACTACAAGAGGATCTAATCAAAGATGTCTTCATAGTGCTCACTCTAGCAGGACACATATCAAATTGGGAATGTTGCCAAGAAGAGTACTGTAGTCCCTTCATATGTATAAGAATATTTGTGGCATCACTGTTCACAACAGGAAAAAAACCCTGGAAGGAAAAACCAATACTCAGGGACAGGAGCATAAACTGTGTTAATTCACACAAAATGATATACAGCAGTTCAAATAAATAAATTACAGTGGCATATATTTAGGAGGCAGCTTCTGATAAGGTTCCCAATGCCCCACCTCTGCCTCCTGGTTTCACACCCTTGTGTAATTTCCTCACTTTGCATGTGGGCTGGACATAGTGACTTGCTTCAAACAAAGAGAAGACTGCAACAGTGATGGAATGTCATAATTTGGTTACAATAGACTATGACTTTGGTCTATGTTCTCTCCCTGGCTCTTATCACACACTGTGATGGAGAGGGCCACCTTTCAAGAACTGAGGGTGACCTCTGGTCAACAGTCAGTAAAATCCAAGGCCCTAGCCGGGCATGATGGTGTGCATCTGGAGTTCTAGCTACTTGGAAGGCTGAGGTAGAAGGATCAGCTAAGCCCAGCAGGTCAAGGCTGCAGTGGCCGTGATCATGCTACCGCACTCCAGCCTGGGTTACAAGAGTGAGACTCCAACTCAAAGACAAAAAAGAAAAAAACCCAACACCCTCAGTCCCATGGGGAACTAGGTTTCCACGAGGCCAACAACTACTGGGTGAGCTTGGAAGTCGGTTTGTCCCAGTTAAACCTTGAGATGAATGTGGACTTGGCAGCACCTTGATTGTAGCCTCATGAGACCCTGAAGTAGAAGCTAAGCTATGCCTGAATCCCTGACCCATAGAAACTGTGAGATAATGAATGTGTGTTATTTCTAACTTACCCAGTTGAAGGGTAATTTATTATAAAGCAATAAATAAGATGTACAAAATATGAATGAATCTTAGCAACGTAATAGTATGTGAAAAAGGAAAATCCAAAAGATTAGATAGATGATACATTTTTGTCAAGTTAAAAGCAATTAAAGTTAAATAAACTTTTTAGGACTACAAGGAGATATAATGACACTATTTTTTATAAAAGGAGAAGGAGCCAGGTATGGTGACTCATGCTTGTAATCCTAGAACTTTGGGAAGCTGGGGTGGGAGGATCTCTTGAGCCTAGGAGTTCGAGACCAGCCTGGGCAACATAGTGAGACCTTGTCTCTACAAACATTGGTTTCTCTGCTCCACCCAAATCAAAAATAAATATATAGCACCAAGATTATCATCAGCAATATCCCAGAACTCAAATATGAAAAGGAAACAGTTACTGGATCCACAGAGAAGTGAAAAAATTCCAAACAAAGAGTAAGAAAATCAGATTTCCATATTCACAGCATATGCCTCCTCCAGTCTGCCCAGCACCAAGCATATGGAAAATTTCCTCCCAATTCACAGTTTCTACACTGGAAAAAGTGAGATTGAGGTGGACCTCTTTACCGTCTTTGGTTCTGTGACAAAGACCTGTCCTTCCATAACCTATGGAAAACATCAGGAGTGCCTGAAGGGAAATATCCCCAAGAACAGCCAGAGACAAAGGTGGGAAGCCTGGATGACCAACTACAGCCCTGAAAACTGCTTGGTAACTCAACCAAAGAAGAAGCTAAATCAGAGTGACTGTTCAGTATCACCATGTTACAGTAGTTTTCTTCCACAGGTCCTTGGGCACAAACCCCTAGTCAGCCATCCCACACTACCAGGACATCCCCTCTGGGACCTCCCCAATCAGAAGGGTCAGCACTCTGATTGTTTAGTAGAACCAAGGCAAACCTGGGCTTAAGGCATCATCTAGTGCCAGGAAGGAGGTAGCTACCTAATGGGAAACAGAGGGAAAATCAACAGGTAAATTATAAAGAATCTCTGAGAAATCACACGCAGTAAAAAACAAAACAAGCCAAACAGAAGACTGGAATAAATAACTAATCCTTCAGTGCAAAGATATAAGTGTATATTCACAAGAAACAACAGTAAAGAGGGAACTATGACCTCCCCACACAGACGAAGCAAGGAGTCAGTGACTTATCCTAACAAAACTGATATGCAAATTTTCTGACCAAGAATTCAAAATAGCAGTTTTAAGAAAACTCAGTGGTCTCCAAGATAACACAGAAAAGCAGTTCAGAAATGTAACAAAGAAAGTTAACAAAAAAATTGAAAGAAAAAAAAAAGAAAGAAAACTTGAACCTGAGAAATACATTTGCTAAACTGAAAAATTCATTAGAGGCCCTCGAGCAGAATGGATCAAATAAAGAAAAGGATCAGTAAACTCAAAGACAGATTATTTGAAAATACACAGAGGAGGGAAAAAAGGAGGAAAAGTAATGAAGATTGTCTACAATATATAGAAAACTATCTCAAAAGGTCAAATCTAAAAACTATTGGTATTCAAGAGAGAGTTGAGCAAGAGTAAGGGGTAGAAAGCTTATTCAAAGAAATAATAATAGGAAATTTTTTAAAACTTAAGAGGTAATTATCCAGGTACAGAAAGGTCAGAGAACACCAGATAGATTTGACCCAAATAAGACTACCCCAAGGCATATAATAATAAAACTCTTAGAGGTCAAGGACAAAGAGACAGTCCTAAAAGGAGCAATGATCCCTCTTACAGGAAATGCTGAAGGGAGTTGGCATTTTCACTAACATGCAAAAGGAAAATATTTGAAGGCATAAAACCTACTAGTAAAATTAAATACATGGACAAAACCAGACTACTCTAATGCTGTAGCTGTAGTGTGCTATCCACTCATAACTCTAATATGAAGCCCAAAAGGTGAATCTATCAAAAACAATAATAGCAATAGCAACTTGTTAAGGGATAGGCAATGTAAATATATGTAAATTGAGATAACATAAAGTTGAACTGTGGGGGAATCGAGTTAAAATGTAGAGTTTTTTCATTGTTTGTTTCTATTCTTTTCTTTATGATCTAAGATAAGTTGTAAACTCTTTAAGATAATTTGTTCTATGAAAAAGATGCCTGCACACATGTGTTTATTGTAGCATTATTCACAATAGCGAAAACATGGAATCAATTGTGCTGCCCATCAAAAGTGGACTGGATTAAAAAATGTGGAACATATACATGATGGAATAAAGAAGGACAAAAGCCATAAAAAAGGACAAAATTATGAACTTCACAACAACATGGACTGATTTAGAGTCTATACTACTCAGTGATCTGAAGGGATTCAGCCCCTTTGCCAGGTTGTGAGATCTCCTAAAGGAGAGACGGATAGGCGAAAGACGAAAATCTTATTCCTGGACACCTGCTTCCTGAACAGATGACATCCTTTATTAGTTAGCAGAGCTTTTATAGCATTTGAAACAAAAAAATGAGTACACTACAAGTTCTCACTCACAAGCCAACCCTGAACAATTATCACAATACTATAAGAAAGGGATTGGCAGTAGTGGGAAACTGCTAGAGGGGGGAGGGCTGGCACACTTTATCACTAAGGGTACCTGATCTCAAACCAGGTGGAGAGGGTACCAAAGTGAGGCCTAAACTTTACCTGTACAATAACC